TAGGTTAGACTGTCTAGTGAAAGTCACTAACTTTAGGAGAACACGAAACAGAATATAGAACAGTAGATCCTAAACAAATAAGAAACTATGATAACTTTCTTGGTTGTGGCTAGCAGAGGAATTCAGGACGCACGTTTCATCCTATTTGGGACTCATCAGCGCCATATACCTGCACCCCAGTTGGTGGTGTTGTTCTCACTGAGACTTCAGCTTCGTATTTATAGCTTTAAACACCGGGGCATTATCTGCTAGGTCACAGAGGCCAGCTCTGGTAATAACCAAGTAATTTATCATAATTACTATTCAGGTAGTATCTAGGCATCTGAATATGAGCCCAAATACCAAAATAGGGCAAACAATTCGATCCAGTAAAAACAACGGAGAATTACAATAAATAGCAATAAGATAAGAAACCTTAAAAACGTTTTGCCGTAGCTACTCATCCTACCACAAAGGATTCATTTATTTAGGTTGGATACACTGATAGTTTAAAAATAAGTGGCAACTGAAGAGGGATTGATGGCTAAACCTCTTTTTATGGGGTCGACACTTGGTATATATGATAAGAATGATGCAACACCGATTCCAGAGGTGTGGGAAATTTTACTACGAGTTAAATCCGAGAATAGAAAACAGAGGAATTAGAAAAATTCGAATAAATAGTTGTATGATTTCCTTGATATGATTACGGGAAATAAATTGTAATCTAGGCATCATCGAAAGTTAGTGTTTCATTGTATGATATACACATTAACAGGAATACCGTGGAACTATACTGTACCACAATGCTTAATTTTTATCCTTATATGGATAATAATTCCGACTATACTGGTTTGATGTTTCGGAAGTGGGAATTGGAATGCGTAGTTGAGCGTCGTATTAACTTTAAGGAAAATTATTATTATTATCATTATTATTATTAGTCCCTTGGGTTCCTAGTGGAACATAGGGCTTCAGTAGCACGTCTCCATTTCATCCTGTTCTCTGAGATTTTTTGAACCTGGTTCCACGACAGCCCAGAAGCTCTCATTTCCTCCTCGCACGATCTCCTCTATGTCACCCTCGGACGTCCAACTCGTCGCTTCCCATGGGGATTCCACTCGAGCAACTGGCCTGACGCGTGATGTCCCCAGTCGGCTTTCTCAGTGGATGCCCAATCCATCTCCACTTCCTCCTGCATATTTGTTGCGTGATAGGTTCTTGGTTGGTTCGTTGCCAGCCAGAGTGAGTTTCTTGTTGCTTATTCTTTCTGGCCATCTGATCTTCAGTAACGAGCGTAAGCAGTTGTAGATGAATGTCTGTAGTTAATTGGAAATCCCTTTCGTAACGCACCAAGTCTCTGAACTATACAGAAGCACTGGCTTGACTGAGTTGGTGTTGAAAACCCGGATCTTGTTCACGCTTTATGCTGAGTGCAGAAGATCTCCACACTGTTTTCAGGCTAATGAACGCCTGTCTTGCTTTTCCGATTCTGACTTTGACATCCTCGTCTGTGCTGCCTGTAGTTATAAAGAAGCCGCCTAGATAGGTGAAGGAGGTTACTTCCTTTAAGTTTCTCCCGTTGATGGTGACTGGAGTTTGTTGTTGTTGTTGGAGTTGTTGGTGCGGTATCTTCATCACCCCTGTCTTCTCTATATTCACCTGAAGTCCCGTCTTCGCTGCCTTGCCTCTTCTGCCAACTTGTTGATTTTCGCCTGTAGATCTTCAAGTTTGTGTGACATCAGGCACAAGTCATCGGCGAAATCCAGATCTTCTAGGTTCTTTTCCGCCGTCCAGCGTATCCCCCTCTTCTCGCTGCCTTCTGTTTGCTGCATGATCCAGTCGACCACTATCAGGAATATCATGGGGGATAGTAAACAACCTTGTTTCACTCCTGTCTTCACTTCACTTCAAAAGCATCACTGAGCTTCCCATTGTGAATTACTTGGCATGTGGCATCTTCATATAGTTGTTGAATGAGGTGGATAAAGGTTTGCTGTATTCCGTAGAATTGAAGCAGTTTCCAAATTACTTCTCGGTCGACGCTGTCAAAAGCCTTCTCAAAGTCGATAAAGTTGAGGTAGGGTAGAGAGTTGACTGCCATTCTATACTCTGTTCTATGATGATGCGAAGCAATGCAATTTGGTCTGCACATGATTTGTACTTCCTGAAACCTGCCTGTTCCGGTCGTAGTTTTGAATCCAGTGCATCCTTTAGTCTCTCCAGGATGATGCGGCTTAATATTTTGCTTGCTGTGGATGGACAGGAGAGTGACTCCGCACCAGTTCTTGCAAACACTGAGGTCTCCGTTCTTCGGCAGTTTGACAATGTAACCCTTCTTCCAATCAATGGGCAGGTACCTTCTCTTCCTTCCACACCTTCTGCAATAGTGGTGTGGTGTGAGCAGGTCCGCTGTTGTCTCTGCATCTGCTTTCAGTGTTTCTGGAGGGATCCCGTCTGGTCCTGCAGCTCTCCTACATTTCAGTAGCTTTATGGCGTTCAGGACTTCCATTTTTGTTGGAGGATTTATGTTCACTTGTAATTCAGCGGCTGCAGGTGGTATTTCTGGACGAAGTGCAGGTGGTGGTGGTGGTCGATTCAACAGCTTTTTGAAGTGGTCGGCCCATTGTTTCCTTTGTTTCTCTTCTTTCGTAATTAAATTTCCTTCTTCATCTTTTATTGGTTTCATCTATGTTGATCTCTTCCCAGATAGCAACCTGGTTATTTGATGCAATGTCGTCAGGTCTCTCTTACCTGCAGCCTGTTCTGCTTCACTTGCCGGTGTTACGTGGAGGTGTCTTTTGTCTTTCCGTGCACTCTTCTTCACTTCTTTGTCCAGCGTAGTGTTTTATATGTTGTACTCAGTTCCTCTTCTTGTTATTCGTCCTTGCACTGGTTAATCTTCTGCTTCACCATCCTCCTCTCCTCTATCAGCTTCCAGGTATCCGTCGAGATCCATTCCTTGTCTTCTTTCTTCCTCCTTCCTAATACTGCTGTGCAGGTTTCTAACCACATCTCTTTCAAAGACTTCCAGTGTTCTTCCACACAGGTTTCTTCAGGGATGTTCCTCGATATCTCCCATTTTGTCTTGATGGATGAAGTGAAGATTTTCTTCGTAGTTTCATCCTCCAGTTTCCGAGTGTTGTACTTGAATTGAGGTCTATCGCCAGCTTCCTTGAAGGCTTTTAACTTGATTTGGAAGGTTCCTTGCACTCACTAGTGAGTGGTGAGTGTGAACCTACATCTGCTCCTCTTCTTGACCTTGTGTTAAGTAGACTGCGTCTCCATTTACTTGAGATTGAGATAAAGTTGATTTGATTTTTAGTGTAGTGTGTCCATCTGGTGAAATCCATGTCGCTTTGTTGATATCCTTGTGCTTGAACACACTGTCAGGCCCCCAATCACCAAATCGTTGAATGCACAGAATTCTGCAAACAGTTCTCCATTCTCGTTCATCAACTCACCGAGTGCTTCTCTACCCATGATGAGTTCTCTTCCTGTGTTGTCCCCTCCCAATTTGGCATTCATGTCGTCCCACCCATTAAAATTTTGATATCGCCAACTGACGTCTTGTCCAGTGTTGATTGCAGATGTTTGTAGAATTCCTCCTTCCCCTCTGCGTCTGCATTATTTGTAGATGCATGGCGTAGCATTGTATGATTGTGATCTTCCTTCCTCCCTTTTGAGTTGAATCTTGCTGGCATGATCCTGGAGGAGAGTGGTTCTCACTGTATGAGAGGGAGCTTTCGATGCTCTTGGGGACATCATGATAGCCACTCCAACACTCAGTGTGCTCGTGGTTGTCGTGTCGTCTGGGTGACAATATCGGAGTAGATTATTGACTGTCCAGTTGATAGTTTGCAGAGTCCACTCCCATTCCATCTGCTTTCGCAAATCCCAAGCACTTCGATGTGATACCTTCTCATCTCCTTTGCAATCTGGGCTGCCTTGCTGAGTTCAAACATCGTGCGAACATTTCCTGTCCCCACGTTCACTTTCGCTTTCATCGAGAATAGAGAAGACACATCGGCCAATTGGCTTCCCGAAGGCTTTCACCAACTGGCGTCATTTCGCCTCTCCGATTCCAGCGAGGAATAATTTTGTTTTTATTTTTTATATTTTGTTTGTGCTTTGAAGTTTGTTTAGCGGTTATATTTGTTTTCCGGGGTGGTGTTGCTAGCTGTATGTCCAACCTTCCCTCTTTAGCTGGGCTTAGGACCGTCTAGTAACTAGTGAACTAGTTAACAAGGCGAGTTTTTTGAGGAAAATACTGAGTTATAAACCCTTTCAATACTTTTAACCACAGTATGGAATGAGGTTAACCAGAGATTAAATTTTCATAAACATGATCCTCAAAATAATAGCGAGTTCAGGCTGTTCAATACCGTCCAACAAATAGAAAGGACCACTTATTCAAAACGTCTTGAATTTCTGAAATCCGCTTATTCACCATTGATTTATGATTAAGATAGTAACGCTTTGTTGATAAACTATGCATATTGCTTATTCATAGGTTATACAACAAAGATTTGCTAAAACGTTTCGGTCACATTATCAAAACGCCTCTCATACTGATTTGATAAATGATCATTTATCGGTGAAATATTAACAAAGTTCAAATAATACATAAACAGTTGCCTACAAGTTTATTCTTGTCTTCTTTTTACAGTAAAAATTATAATCACCTACCTATCATACTTTTATATTGTATAATATTTAGTAACATTATCAAAAGTACTTCTCTTTACTTTTTTCCTTTATCGTGTTCAATGTTCACTGGCGCCAAAGTTACTTGTAACTAATGACAATACTAATAATATTATTATTATCGCTACCAAAGACTCTCAGAAACATATTCATATATATTACATTTTAATAAATATGACTAGTAGTCAAATCATCTCTAGTGTATACATAAAGGCAAGAATAAAAATAGTGTAAAAACATAGAGAATATTGGAATGAATTCATTATTAAGAAAAAAAATTAAAAATGGTAGACATTTAAATACAATCATCTTACCTTTTAGTTAAACTAGACGAAGTTTTTGTTTTACGACAACGACTTAACAGAACCAACGTTATAATAATCATAATCACCAAAGCACCACTCAGTACACCACCAAGTATAATCCAATGAATATTTTCTGATTCAATCATTTTTTTAGATTCACTATTCAAATGTTTAATAGTATTTAATTCATTTTCACTTAGAAATGGCATAATTCTATCCATTGGTTCATGAATATCATGTAAATTGTAATAGTCTTTAGTAAACTTGACTATACCGCCTCCATTTCCATCCGCTTATGTAGGATAATAATCAGAGAATAACAGATAGTTGAAACAGAATGAAGATAGAAGATTAAATAAATAAATAAAATATTCTTTGAATCTTTATTGAAAAGTTTGTTACATTTATCGAAAATGTTTAATATTCATTATAAACTGTAAATATATACATGACTTATTAAAACAAAAACAAATGAATAAAATGTTTCAAAAGGCTTTAATCCTAAAACCAAATTTAAAAACTACTGAAGAAGACTAGACATTTGTTCCATTCTTGTTACATCTTTCTATATTATTCAAAAAAAAGAAAGAATTTCGCAATGATACTATCACCTAAGATCTAAGTCAACCAAATCGATAAATCAGCTTTTTTTCCCTTGGGCTCCATTATTACTTCATCTACTGGTAAATGCCGATAAAAATCTAAAAAAAGTATGATTAGTTTACAAGTTGCAAGATCCACCTTGATATTTCTTGTAGCTGAGTAGTTTTTTCGCTGTAATGTCAACAGTATGTAAAATTAAAATGTCGACCATACAATTTGTAAAACATTTCCAAATTGAAGATTTCTATGGATTTATTTGTTGAATTCTGGTTGGTATTCATCATCAATCATAATCAGTGAATTAGCAGAAATAAGAAATATGGATCATTGGATTCTGACATATTAAGTCAATGATAACGTACTGGCTAGGAAGACTGAAGGTCTTGCATTCCACTTCCAGAAAGGTAATTCTTGTACATTGCTAAGGAGTCATATGCTAGCATAAATCATTTGTCAAGTGCTTCCAGGTTACCAATATTTCTCCAACTGATGTCAACCCATGACGAATGGCAAATTCACATCCACTTTCACACTTACAAATCCATACAAGTCAGCTGGCCAGATTCTGGTGATCTGAATTAATACGAATATGTAGGCTGAATTAGTCTGGGTTCACCGATGGTCAGCAAGGCCTAAGAATGATCGAAATAGTTGTACACTGATTAGGTTACATTGATGTGGCTGGCAAATTCTACAGATCATACTTAGTGGTTAATGACAACTTAAGTTGTTATATAATATATTTCACTCACGAAAACATTTGTAGTAAACAGAAAGCCCTTAAAAAACCCGAAAAGGTTATCAGTACATATTCCTAATTGTCCCTAGCTTCACAGTGAAACATGCAGCATCAGTAGCATATCTCCATTTTACTCTCTTCTCTGCACTCTCTCCAAACTCGATCCACTAATACCAACAAGCCCTCAATTCTTCCTCACACCAGCATAAAAAAATAAAGTACACTATCTGAATTCCACTCTAATATATTATGAAACATATAACCATGGTCTTATCTTTATTCGAAGAGTGAGTTAAGCTACTCATCTAATTATAATCTATCCCCTAGGCTCCCAGTGGAATAATGGCTTCAGTAGCACATCTCCATTTCACTCTCTTCAAACTCGTTCCACCAATGCCAACAAGCTCTCATTTCTTCCTCACACCATCTCCTCCTCCCATCACCCTCGCATCGGACGCCAAACCCATCTTTTCCTATTTGGCTTCAACTTGACGGCCTGAACTGACATGTGATGTATCCAATCGGTCTTCTCAGTGCATGTAAAGTCCAATCCAATCCATCGCCACTTTCTTCTGCATATTTGTTGCGCAATAACTTCTTGGTTGGTTCATTGCCAGACCAGAGTGAGTCCCTCCTTCCTTATTCCTATTATTCTGGCCATCTGTCTGATCTTCAGTGTCAGTATCGAGTTAGCGTATACAGCAGCTGCTCATGCATGTCTGTAGTTGTCTGTTGGAAATGCCTTTTGTGACACGCCACAAAGTCTCTCAACCATCACACAGAAGCACTAACTTGACTGACATTAGTGTTGAAAATCTGGACGCTATTCACGCTTTATGCTGAGTGCAGTGCAGCGCAGTGGAGTGCAGTGCAGCAGATCTTCACACTGACTACTTCAGATTGATGAAGACAGGTCTGTCTTCCTGTCTTCCTGATCTTGGCTTTGACATCCTCATCTGTGCCTCCACCGTCTGCAGTTGAAACGATGCTGTCTAGGTACGTGAACGAGACTACTTCCTTTAGGTTTCTCCCATTAATGGTGAGTAATGCTTGTAGTAGTTGTTGGTTTGGTATCTTCATCACCTCTGTCTCTTCTACATTAACTTGAAGTCCTGTCTTCCATGCCCCGCCTTGCCTCTTCTGAAAACTTGTTGGTTTCGCCTGCAGACCTTCCACTTTTGTGCAACAAGACATTTGACACAAATCATCATCGACGGCGACATCCAAATCCTCTAGGGTCTTTTCATCGGTTCAGTCAGCATATATCCAGCTTCTTGTTACTCACAGTTGTCTGTTGCATGCTCCAGTCCTGTCCAGTCGACCACAATCAGGAAGATCATCGGTGATAGTAGGTGGCAGCCTTCACTTAATCCGCTCTTCACTTCAAACGCGTCAATCAGATTTCCATTGTGAATCACTTGGCATGTAGCCTCGTCATATTGCATAGCATATAGCTGTTGAGTGAGGTTGATAAGGATGTGTGGCGCTGAGACCGTAGTGTTGAAGCAGCTACCTGCTAAACTGCTTCTCGCTCGACGCTGTCGGAGGCCTTTTCAAAATCGATGAAGTTGAGGTAGGGTTGAGTTGACTACCGTTCTATGCTCTGTTAAATAATGATGCATAGCCTAACGTTGAAATTTGATCCGCACATGATTTGTTCTTCCTGAAACCAGTGAAGCAACCTGTCCTGGTGGTATTTTGAATCCAGAGCATTGTTCAGTCTCTCCAGTATGATGTGGCTTGATATTTTGCTTCGTCCGGTGGGTAGAGACAAAAACTTGATTCCGTGCCAGTTATTACAAAAACTTATATCTCCCCTCTTTGGAAGTTTCACGAGGTGGCTCTTCTTCCAATCAACCTGCAGGCACCTTCCCTCACTTCCTTCCTTCCTTGCGAACCTCCTGAAGCATTGGTGTGAGCATGTTCGCTGTTGTCTGTGCCTCTGTTTTCAGTGCTTCTGGAGGGATTCCATCTTGTCTTACTGCTTCCCCGAATTTCAGTAACATTATGGCGTTCACGAATTCACTTCTGTTTTTGTCGGAGGGCTTGTGTTCACCTGTAGTTCTGCCATCGCCGTTGGTATTCCTAATCCAGTTGCAGGTGGTGATGATGATGGTCGATTCAAGAGTTTTTTGAAGTGGTTGTATCTCCTCTCTGGTAATTAAATTTCCTTCATCATCTTTCAAAGGTCTCATTTGTGTTGATCTCTTCTCTCCCACACTGTAACCTGGTTATCTCATATAATGTTTCCAGGTATCTGCCTCTCCTACTAGCAGCCTGTTCATCTTCACTTGCCAGTGTGTCGTGGAAGTGTCGTTTGTATTTCCACGCACTCTTCTTCTCTTCCTTGTCCTATGTACTGTTTCATACGTTGTGTTCAGTTTCTCTTCTCGTTGTTAATCCCTGCATTTCACTGCACTGCACTCCACTGGTTCATCTTCTGCTTCACCATCTTCCTCTACCTCCTCTATCAGCCTTCATGTGTCCATCGAAATCCATTCCCTGTCTTGTCTTTTCTTGTCTACCGTCAAAGTATTACCAAAATGCTGCTGAGTTATAATTGAAAAATTAATTTTTTCCATTTGTAAATATTTTGTGGATTTATTCATTGATTCCAGGTTGATTTTCATCTTAGATTGATATGAGTTGGAGAACCATTGGAAATCTGGAAGCACTGAACTGCTGTTTCGTTCTGATATATGGCTCCTCATTAGCATGCGGATGTGACTGGAACAGCGTGCTCATTAGTGGCTGCTGTAGGGATGAGACTCTTGAAATTCGTATGCGAGGTCGTGACCGATGGAGCTAAGGAAGTCAGACATGAGTGTATTTACTCGAAGTGCTGCCTGCAGAACCCTGAGTTTCTGGGTTCAACCCCTCCTATGGCCATATGTGAAACCGTGAGGCACCCCATATCGAGATGAAGAAGCTTTTCAGCAGTCCTAAGTTTCTAATAGTTCTCAAATTGGCAATCTTTCCATGTTAAATATTAATCTGAAGTCTGTTATTTGTTTAATGGAGTTTTTGACTTATTCTGATGCTGATGTTTGGAAATATATTGAAAATTCTGCGTAAACATACAGGTTTTATACAAAGCTACCTATGTATTTTCTGTTATTTGCAACAAAAAAGCGTTACGCATTTGCAGTACGAAGAAGGTTTACAACGGTACAGAAGTATTCCTTGCACTGCTATTTAATTCACTGTTATACATAAAATTTCAATGAAAACCATTTAGTGATACCTTTTTGAGTAAACCGACAGTCAAAGCATTTACCGAATGAGATGAATTTATTCGTTTTTTTAAGGTTTCTCAAGTAGTAGCAAATAATTTAAAGATCATCATAGATTATTCAGAAGAAGAATAGTGCCTGTGTAGTGCCAGGCTCACTGAAGTGGAAACCACCGTGGAATTCATTCAAAGTTGTATTGTGAACAATATTAGCAATTAGCTTAAAATTACAAGGATTATTGGAAAATTAAAACTAAGTAAAGCTTGATTAGTTTTGAATTCTCTATGTAGTTGAAATAATAATCTGAGCGTTTTGCGTCACAGATGTATATCTTAGTTGCTAAATAATTATAAACTAATCAAATTTCATCCAGAATATCTGTTATTTTAATACTATCCACGTTATCTTTTCCTTAACCGCTATCTTCTACATGATAAGCGATAATGTGAAATAAAATCTTTGAACCAGCTTTCATTTTCCATAACTCACGATAATCTATCACTGAGTATCAACAAAGAATCCAGTATCACTTGAAAACTAATCGAATTGCTGTGCAGCATATCAGCACGTAAAAGTACAAGGCACAAAGTTGAAAGAAGGATAAATACGGAATCGATGAAATATAAATAGTTAAAAGTCTTAAACAGAGAACGAGAAAGAAATAAAACAGCAGTGAAATTCCGTATGAAATGTATGCATTCATCTTAACTGTTATATTCACCAACACGGACCCTAAATGCTAAGTGTGCTTTTCCCTACATAACTCACACTAACAGCCAGAGATATCAGGATCTGATGTCATGTTTCAGTCCATCAGTCTGTCACCCGTTTCAAGCCTTAAATTCACTTAATGCTGAAGACAGTGACTGGACAAGCGCCAAGCACGTCGTGATCACCCCAGATGATAAAGCTTTGCAACCTCATCGGCTCACTGTCCTTTCCTCCCTGGAACTCTAGACTTGACTACTACTACATTACTGACTTGGAGACATCCCAGCACATTTTGAGGGTAGTCAAATACCTGAAGCTTTCTAATATCTTGCACCTTTGCAAGCTATATTTCATAATCATACAGTAGAACAGAGTATATTGTAGGAAGAACACTTGACCATGAACAGACAATCGGACACCATAAGCTGCTTAAGTTGGCGAAAGCTAAGCGAGCCTTTTGTATTCCCGTGGAGATTTCATCAATCACTGATGTATAAGAACTGATACTACTTTTCGAGTAGGTACAGAGTCAGTACGCCTAACTATTTCACTTCTGAATGCCAAATATGACACTGACAAAGGTGGCAAAGCAATAATATGCGTTTTGTGGTGAGAAACTCATCCTACGCAGTCTAAAACTGTCACTGAATGCATCCAACTGACTGTCTCCTTTCAGTGTTTTTGCCCGCCAGGAATATGTCCACTAAGGATCTTTTTGTTGCAAAAAAATCTCTCAGTACAGTGAGACAAGGAGATGAATACAATGACATCTGCGGCAAAATGAAATAAGAATCGAGAAAGCGAACATCATTGAACTACACCACTCGTTGTTTATAATCAGTCTGATACCCTGCCATAAGTTCTGACATGCCCACAGGTGTTCAAATGCAGCACATTCAACAGGGTGGCTTTCATGTCTAGCTCCCGTTTTACCGAGAGACATTACCATTAGGACTCTAGAAATTGATGCTGCTTGCTTATAGCGACAAGCCACAAAGTGTTTGTTAGTGTAAGGTAATTCATTTCTCATGCATCTATGTGTAATAGACAGTGAGCTGCATCCGTCGTATGAGGGTAGGACTAGCCTTCTGGCTGCTCAGACGTTATTAAATGAAGGGCTATTAGAACTCATGATCCTGTGGCTGAAAATCTAGCGTCTAATTTAAATGGAATAATTTCATATATTTGAATCGATAAAATAATAGACTACTTAAGTGACCGAAATTTCCTCTTTTGGACGAAGGTATATTTTAACTGTACGATCGTGATAATGTGCAACAAAGTGTTGAATATTCCAGCATAATTTGTAATCAAAGGTTATAAACGAATAGGTGATAAAAGAGAGGTTGTCTAATACAGATAAAATGATTTACAGTAGGAGCACTTATTGTGACAAGTTTTTTGAACAATGTTTATGAGATCAACTTCAAAACAACACTTATAACACTATGAGAAGGAATAAATGTATCCATCGAAACCCTGGCTGTACGTAGATTGGAACCAATCTGATATTCACTGATGTTTATTCTAACAGTGTTCAGTACCAAAGACTGCACAGCTGTCATTTGTTCATGCGTGACTAATTAATGTAAATATTCAATGTATGTGATACAAACAAGCTCAGCCTATGAAATTGTAAGATAAGTTTGATAATAACTTAATACCACAGAATACTACTGAGCAATTCGTAAAACTCAAACATGATTTTACATAATGATTAAATGAGAAAATCTATACTTAATCATGTGATACACTCATGTTAAACTGCTCACTGAAGCGAACAAGTGAGCATGTCACTAAAAACCCTGATGACCATAAGAGTAACAGTATTTCGGTTAGGAAGGGGAGAGTGAGAGCAAGACAATAATCTGATGTCTGGTAATATGACATTTTAAAGATACCAGGAGATATTTTCCGCGTTGCTAGGCAGTTCAAGATTACAGTTCACATGCGCATAACTAATGAATGAATCAACCGTTAACAAGTTTCTGTTCAGTATAAAAACTAATATCCTTTGAAATACAAAGAAGCAAATGGAGCAGTAAAATGTGGTTATGAGAAGTTTTGAACCACATTTACTTCAGTATGCTTCAATCTAGATTGTGGCTGATGTTGACACGTATCGTAAACTGTATTGGAAAGGAATGTTGACAGCCTGCGATCAGGTCAGGTGGAGCGAAATCCCTGTAGGATGCATTCATTTTTAATGCGACATCTTTATAGTAATTCTAAGTAAACAGCTAACCGGTAACTTTTTTTCAGCTTATTCCACCAATCCGACATTGGGCAAAGTCGATTACAATGTAAAAAACCTGATATGGTAACCTCAGTTGTAAACTTTTCATCATATAAGGCTAGTTAGCGTATTAATGTTTTCTATCGAGTAGCCAATCAGTGACTGGTTTATGCTTTAGGCGAACTTGAAAGCCACTAATAAATACTTTGATAGTGATATAATCTAAATAGAGGGATACAGCTTCCTTTTCACTGCATCAAACTTCTGGAAAAATCGCATTGAATTATCTAACCATTCAGCACGATGACACTAAAATTTACTGTCCTAATGTTTTTCAAAACTTTGTTCAATGAAATATAATGAGTAAACACTTTCAAAATGCAACAACTATTCTGTATTTTACAATATCACATAAAAGTGTTGATTGCATTTAAGTTCGTCATCATGAAATTATACCATCTAGGGAACATATGGGAACCTGAGAGTACAGGACAGCTGTTTCGTCTTGGTATAAGACTCCGCAATGGGTGCACTAATGACCTCCTCAGGGATTGAATTTCAACGACCATCAGCTTTCTATTCTTATCAATTCTCGACATAGCGCGACTATCCATCTCTAAACCTCAACGCCCTGGGTTCGAACCCCGGCGGGGTTGTGGGTGTATACTGCCAAGGAGTCCCATATCAGGAAAAGCAGCGATCCCATGCATAAAGGTTGTCAATGGTTTCCCAACCGACGTCCATCTATGAAGAATACCTTAAAGAATATGAATCTTCATACACCTCAAACTAAATCTTTTTTAATTCTTTTGAAAAAAAATTTAAAACACAACTAGAGTCCCTATCTATCTAACACTACATCTGTGCACGCAACTATCAAACTTAATCGAAAGATAAAGATTGTAACTTGCTGGGAAAGGTTTGCGTGTGAATTAATTTTTTAGACATTCACTTGACTTAACACGAGTTTGACTTAAATTATATATATATATATATATATATATATATATATATATATGACGTCATATAATTGACAAGAACATGATCGAGATT